CACGCGCCGCCCCAGCGCGCTCCCCTCGCACCCGCCACCGCCAGCGGCGCCCACCGTAAGTGGGCTCTGCGCGCGCTCCCTCCGCGCGGGCTCCGCGCGGCTTGGCCGCTGTCCCCGAGCACCTCTCGCGGCGCGGGGGTCGCGCCTCCCGCGCGCGGGTCGCCCCTGGGCAGCGTTGGTTGCGCGGGGTGAGCGCGCGGTGCGCGGGTGCGGGAGCGGGGAGCGCGCAGCACCGCCTCCTGCACCATATGCCAGGCGCTTAGAGCAGCTCATTTCTATCCTTTTCTTTTCAGCGTTTGCATAAAATTATCTTAACCGCGAAAGTTCATTTAAAGCATTTTTTTCTTTAATACTGTGTATACGCTATTTTTTTTCTTCTTTTTTTCCCCCCTTTTTTATTGCTCCCCCCCCACCCCGCGGTGATGGAAGGGAATTGCGCGCACCGCGGTGCGCCTTGAACTGCTCTCAGAAGAGCGGGTCCCGTGTCGATGTGGATACAAATACGAGCAGCATCAGCAGGAAGCCCTGAACCGCCGCTTGATAATTCGCGCTCGGAAGCGTTTCGCCGAGCGTGGGAGTCTTTGGCGGTTCTTATTCACTCGCAAAGCGATAGCGAAAACGGTCGTTGTTTTTTTTTCTCCCAGTGGAGAAGCGAACACGCGAAAAGGAWGAGCCTTCGCAAGGTCATCGCACCCGCTCGGGGAGCAGAAGTGCTGCAGCTCCTTGCGATGGCTTAGTAGATATTCTCGCTGGGATTTAAAGGTGTATTTTTAASCCGCGCGAATGGGTGCAGGGGATAAGGGGGTTGCGCTCCCCTCGCCCCCAGGCCGCGGTAGCTGCGCGGGGCTTCGCGGCGCTCCCGCCCCGCGCTGGGCAATAGGGCGAGGTGAAGATGGAGGTGGGAGGAGATGCGCCGTCCAGGCCAGCCCCGCACGAAGAATGGAGGAGGAGGAGGAGGAGGAGGGGGGAGACGTCTCCGTTCGGAGGGATCAAAACAAAAGCGGAGCGATCAGAGTCGCCGCGCAGGGAACCGCGCCGCCCCAGCCAGGTGCGGGCTGCGCCGCGCAGGCTGCGCGCACCGCCCGAGGGTCCCATCCCGGCCCATCCCCGCCCGCGGGGCTGCCTGGCGCAATTTTGCACGTAGGAGCCGCTGGAAAAGCGACTGGAAAAGCCGCGCAATCAGCTGCAGCCCCGACTGGGTGATGCGGGGTCAGGGTGCGAGGTGCGCACCTATGGGTGCCATAAACYCACGAGGCTGGCACCGGTGGGGCCTCATTTTGATCTGTCCCGCTCCAGAGACACCACCTGGGACATCAGCCCCCTGCCTCAAAACCCAAGGACAGCCGGGGAAGCAGTTACTTCCAAGTACCTGAGTGGCCGAGTGAACAAGAAGCTGTGCAGATAACTGAGTAATTAAAAAACCTGCCCTTTTCATTAAGACCGAAATGTGATTATTGGCACACCAGAGCCTTCGCCATTTAGCGAGAGACTTGGATGTGCGACACGTTCTGAATCTGTGTAAATAAGATGCTAAAGTGGCTGATGTATTTAAAAGGTAGAGGTAGTTTCCCCATTCCCAATTCATTGGAGATTTTTCAATAGTATTTCATGGCAAGTATTTCTGGGGATAAGAGTTCCTTTCTTTTATTAAATAKCCAAGCTGTCAGAAATCTGCTTCTATCCACTGGGTAGAAGATAAAAACCAACACATTAACCAGAATACAGTAAAGAAGCAAAATCTTCATGTTCACAGTAAAATGACTGTCCGAGAAATCTCCACCTTTTAAAATGTATATTCAGTGGCCCTTTTGCAGTACCTACTTGCTGGTACTTCACTTCTACGCACATTTTAGATTCATTAGCTTTCACTGTTACCCCTTCTCTTGGTAAAAAGCTTTTAAAAGAACGCACTTCATATAACATTAGTTTACTTGAAAAGTCCTCTGGTGCAGCTTTAGAACAGCACTATCCATTTCAGGTTTGTGGACTGTGATCAATTTTAATTAAAGCTTTAATTACATTTTGTCTCTCCATTCAAATGAAACATAAAATAGGGCTAATATTGCTGTCAAGGAAAAAAGTAAGACATCATATTCTTAATCTTCGTTTCATGTTATTTCTGTCTTTTACTTAAGGCTAAATGTTCCTCTTGGACTCGAAAGAAGTTTTGCCATAAATTTGTGTGATATGGAATTGCAATATTTGACTTTTTCTAGATTGTCCTATCCATATAGAGCAAATTGCACCATTGACTTTTCGCCTTTTTGGGAAACCACTCGTGTTCGTGGTGCTCTGACTATTGAGCTTGTGTCGACCGTGCCGTTGAACAACAACACTTCAGACTATTACGGCATTATGTAACCTYACAACTGCAGAGCGAATGTCTGTAACATCCCCACTGCCCTCAGCCCCCTCTTACTAGACCCTATGTAGAGTCTACTAGGATGATCTACCAAAAAGGGGACAATGAACCTCTTGAGAGCCTGGGGAACCAGGTGCTTCTGCTCAGTGTGCTGGGCTGGTGCAGCCCCCCGGCACTTCTTTCTGCCTGTTCTGCCGCAGGCAGGATCTAAATCACATCATAGATCGCTTTTAACAAATGCTTTGAATATAGTGAACTATACTATGCGGGCTCCCTGAATTATCTGCTTTTGAAGCTGTTATGGTTTTGTTTTTCAATTTTGGAATTCAAATTTTATGTCTGTCTGCAGCACATATGTATGCTTTTTTTTTCTTTTTTTGTATTATATCTGTTTCACATTTGTATTTTAGCAATTCTGATTCCTAGATTTATGTGGATTTTTGGAAGTTTGTGTCAGTGGGGCAAATAATGCGGACTACTCTAAGCAAGATAACTGTGAATTAAACAGCAATACACACTAATCAAAATCAGAGTTATAAAATATGACAGGTACACTGACTGTTATAAAATATGGCTGTTATTTAAAGCAGTTTAGAACTGAAACACTTAACACTCACCAGGCAAGACTGCTTCTTGCCTGTATTGTATTCTTGCCTGTATAGTGCTGTATTTTCAGCACTAGTCTTCTTCTTTTTTTTTTTTTTTTTTCAAATTTCAAATTCAAATAGTTTTGCCAGCGCGGATTGAGGATAAGTACCTTGGTCTTTAGAACTTTACATTCCATCCTTTCCTTTAATTTTGCCTTACACTAGCAGAGAAAGAYAACTGTGTGGACTTTCTGTATTAATTCCCATGCCTCATTTTTGCTCAGTCTTTATTGTAATGAGACTGGATTATTTCACCATTCCCCCTTCTTTTGTGGMTCTGCATTACCTGCATTTTGTGTGTCTCTTGCCTTTGCCTTCTTGTTTTCTTGTTTGTTGCCTTTTCTTTCTTTCTTTTTTTTTTCTTCACTGTTAATTTCCTTTAATCCTTAGAAAACGTGGTTTATTCTACGGTTTCTGTATGTGGCATCCCTAAGCATATTGCCTGATGCAGAAGTACAGCATGCCTAGGGAATGCCGTGAGCCTGCGGGCTGCTGGGCTCCCCACGGGCGTCCGTCGCAGGGAGGCGCTTCCTCAGTTTTCTTATCTTGTCAAATCTTACACTGTTGCTTTGGAAGTAACAGCTACAATCCTCAAAGATAATGAAACAGATGATTAAAAAAAGATAGTGGATTATCCATATTACTTCTGAAGTTATGTAAGTTGCTAGAAATACATATACACTACACACACACACACACACACACACACTGTACATTTATCATAGCAGGGTTTCAGCTCTCAGGAGCTTTTCCACAGTTTTAAATGAATATGACCCAAAGGATAATAATACCCATGTAGGAATTTGAGGCAGATTATTAGAGATGGTCTCATAACTGCATGTTGTAGAAGCAATTAGTTTTAAGGAGACACTTGAAGGAGAAGGAAAGTTAGGAATGACTTAACACTCAGCTTCACTGATGTTATTTATAACAATATCCAGCTGTTTTTTTTTCCCCTGATTGTTCTTCTGAAGAGGATAAAGAACAAAGTGTATTTTCTAAAATAAATTGTAAAACCACAATCAATTAAAAATACATGATGTTCACTGACAGTGAGATAAGAATGTTTGGTTGACCTAAAAGTGATATATTCTGAAACTCTAATATCAAGGACAAAGAAGAAGTGTTTTTGATTTTGTCAAAAGTTTTCTGCCTGGAACAATCCCCATCTAAGTCATATTTTGGATCCCAGACYATACAAATTTAATAGAAAATATTAGTTTTAATAGAAAAAATAGTTTTACCAGTTTCAATATTTTGAGGAAGAAAGATTTTGATATATGTCTGAGCTTGTTTATGATTTTTGAGGTAATGGCTATAGATAATTTGAAGTAATAAAATGGATATTTTAAGGTAATGGTGGTTTAATAATTTTCTGCAGGAAAATAAAACATTTTGGAACATCTTGTTTTTGCATCATATAGCCATTTAATGAAAAATACATACCTAGTCAGCGCAGCACAAATCTAAATTGATATGCAGGAGGAAAACAAGCCTTAATGGTGATTTTTCATCTTTTTTAGGTTAATATATATGAGACACTAAGCCTTTTGATGAAAATGACTTTTAATCACTTTTGACTTGCAGCTGATTTAGTGTTAAGCATTTGACTTTTTTTTTTTCCAGCTCCACTATATAGTTTGCAGGATACTGTTTAATCTCTTCATTCTCCCCTTTCCATGACCCAATTTATTTTAATAGGAACAGAGTTGTGCTTTACCTACATTTCAATTCAAATTAAGAGTTACATTCAAATTGCATTCCACTCAAGTGTTCAGATTACATCCCATTAGGGAGAAAATCCCTGTAAATATTTTTTGTCCATTAACTTAGAACTTCTGGAACATGGAAGAGATGATTGATGAAAAGATCTAGAAAGTGAGACCTGCGGCTTTTAAATGACATATTACATATTTAGTTTTGGTCATATTTTCATTCCAAAGTTAGGCCTAATAAAATGGTGGATTATTTTTTGTTATAATGAGTTAAGTCATCAGTATAAATCAATCAATGGATTTACCTTGATTTTCAAACTTGGATGGGAGT